CTTTTGTCATAGTTATACGGATTTGAAAATGACAATATTACCCTTAACGACAAAACTTCAACCCCCTCTACTTTCTACAAATATTTTTTTAATGAGTTTATATTTTAGGGATTTATTACTATCATATAGGACAACAATTTACCAAAGTATGAAGCCAATCCCAGAACATTGACTTTTTGGGCTGGGGCGATTGAAAAAGAATCTCTCATATATGTGGTTTCATGTACTGCCAGCTAGGTTGCTTAAAGTTACTGTCAACGTCGTCTTCAGTCCAGGATAAATGCAATTCGTCTGGTTGCCGATATTCTTCCAGCAGACGTTCCAGTTCGTTGATACGCGACAACAGTGTGCCGTTTTCTGCCTCCTTTTCAGTTATACAGTTTGAAGCCTCTCGTACAAGATCAGAGAATTGTTCTTCTCTCTTTTTGCACTTCTCTAGCTGGTCAGCAGCTGATTAATACATGGCAAAGAGGTCCAAGTATCCACGAAACAGCCAGATCTACAAATCAAAATCATAATTAGTACATAGAAAACGTTTAATATCTTTGATATGGAATTTACCCATTGGTTTAAGGAACAAATTACATCAGAGGCAACAGATATGTATCTTTCACAGTAAGTGAATTAAGGACTCGAAATCACTTTGCGAAGGTTTCAATAACTTTGTCTGTTAACATTTGCTCAAGTTCTGAAATAGTGGCTTCTAGGACCTTCGGGGAAACTATATAACATCGCTGTTTGACTGACGTATTATCACCAACATCTATTACATGCATTGTTAACTCCGTAAGGCCGGGTTTATCAGGGATCTCTGGCAGATTTTCTTATAAGGAATTTCTCTAATCTTTCTCTTTGCGAGGTATTGAGTTCCATTAATCCAGCAGTTTTCCCAAACCAGCTCTCTTGATTCGAAATGATAGACTTTCTTAGGTTTACTTTTGTAGCTCCAGGTACGGGTTGTAAAGTCAGCTTGAATTTTATAATATTTAAGGAAATCTAATCCAAGGACCAAAGGTTCTATTAGGTAAAGGCCTGAGCAGAATAGAAACGGAATCGTAATCGCAAACGCAACCGGAATAATGAGTTAGAAAAGGATAGACATATTGTTTGTCCTTCTCCAACTTGTAATAAATCTTTATGTTATTAAAAAGAAAAAATAGTATAATTAAAATTTGTGCCGAATAACATTTATTATATTTCAAAATTTGAAAAATCTCCGTCCATACATACAATACACTTTCAAAACTTTATTCGGACTATATAATTTAATTATTATAATTAATATCTGATCAGATACGTTGATTTAAATATATACACGTACAGGTCGTTCAGAATAAAAAGAAAAGTCTTTGTCGAATTACTGCTACTAACATAAAAGGTGTGGTCAAACACCGCAATTATAATATCAATATCAAATCTTGCGAATAATAAAAAATACGGTATTATTTCCGTTTATTTACAATCGAAAATACTGGCGTTTTGCATAGCTACTCTTAAGAGGATCGTATTTCAGTGGACCGCTTTGCTGTCCACCACGTTATTTAGAGTATAGCTTTCTTATCACAGGGATATTTCTCGCTCTCAAGTACTCGCTGCGTTGATCACAAACAGGAACGGTGAAGTCGTCAAGTTAAGAACAAAATCAATTAATTCGGTCGTTCACCGACACGAAAGTTTGCTTCACTATGCTCAGCGTATTATGCACAGATTGCTACGATAATACAATAAAAAACAATATTACATTCAATATAAGATTCTTTGTCTCAATTTTTACAACAAAAGGGCAAATACTCACCCCAATTGGGCGTTGTGAATACTTATTGAAAATCCATGCGTCGTATTGTGCGATTAAATCAGTGTGGTCAAAGAGCTCGAACACATCGTGCGTGCGATAGGTGATCTAATCGCCGACTGCGAATTTTCAATGCCGATCGGGCGAATGGATTCGGGCAAATGTATATTCGGGCAAATGTGCATTCGGGCGGTTGTTTTCGGGCGAATGGGCGTACATTCGCCCGAATACAACCGCCCGAATGTACATTCGCCCGAATACCGTTTGCCCGAAAATCAATAACCCGAATACACTTGCCCGAATCCAATCGCCCGAATACTATTACGCCCGAAAAAATATATGTCAGAAAAACGCACAAAAAATTGGTGTGTGAATTTATTTTTGTAACATAGGTATTATGACAATTGAATATTGCATGCCAAGTTTTCCAAAAAATCTAAAACTTTGTTTTCTTCTTTATAAATGTTGTACTCCTCCGTTATAGTACACAAACGGCGCTGCAGCGATACCCATTTCTTTCGTGGTGCAGCTTTTACTGACCGACCCAGACTCAGTTCAACGAGACAAGTTTCCGTATCCTGTTGTTCTTTTTGAATCTCTTTCAAAAAAGAATACAAATCTGGATGATCTTTGTTGACTAGCATTCGGAAACGGTTGTGCCAACCCTCGCTAACATTGTTGGTTCGATGTAGGCCTTGAAGGGTAGCTTCATGTTGGTTCCACATTTCGATCGGATAGCGAGGAAGTACAGCGCGGCGTCGACCACGAGCTGGTCGCCCGCGAATATAATTGTCTTCAAAGTAATCGAGAACATCCTGCAAGGATTCTGAAACCACACCTGATAGTTCATCGAAGGCATCCATTACATCACATACGGGAACAAACGCGAGACTCAAAATCATATGAGTGTGTTTTCGAATAGTTTCATCGTTTGGATCGTTGTAAGCAACCTGCAAACCTTCATTCTGTATTTTTCGGTACATCGACTGTCCAAGGTGAAAAAAGCATCCAGTTAATGGGATATCAGGAAACACTGATCGGCATGCATTAATAATGGCTAATTCAAAGTCAGTCAGAATTCTTTGTGGTCTACAATGATGGATTCCGTACGTTGCAGCCGTAGAATCAATCGCTTTAAAAACAGCCTCATATTGATGTGTTTCTTTTGAAGATAAGAGAGCAAACACGAAAGGGAAAGGAATTACAACCGGTTCATTTCCTCTATCACTGGGCTTTGAAACTTTCTCGATAACAGTGAAGAGTTGAGTAAAAATTGAAGGTGTCACTTTGAAGGTACCGTCAACGTACCAGGTATCGCTATTGGCAAGACGTTCAAAATTATTGCGTGTACCGAAAACCAAAACACGACCCTCACCGAAACTCTCTTCGTCACGGGAATCATAAATGAGAAAGCGTTCGTTTGACAATGTTTTCTGAAAACGTGCAGGCAGTTCATCAATGTCCTCTAAACTTTTTGGATTTGGAGGCAGTTCGAGTCTCCTTTCTCTCCTCATAGATTTTTTCATGTTCTCGCGCTCAGGAAGTTTTGCCAAAACACTGGGCCTTACATTTCCAAGGGCGTTGCGTAAAATCTGTCAACGATAAAACAAAATGTAAAAAAAAAGCAAAAAGAATTAAAAAATTTTAAATCTAATTTCGAAATTCACCTGTGCCGGAGGGCATTCAGGATGCTCCTCAGCAGTTCTTTTTAAGTTAACCTTAATTATTTCCGCTTCCGCTTCATCTTGATTCGGAGGGTGTGAATGCACAGATTTCGTGGGGCCTTTCACAACAATTATTTCAGATGCACTTTGAATTGTGATTGCACGGGCTTTACATTCTCCTCGACGTACCTTTTGGCAGTCCCAGTAAAATTTTTCATTTTTTGAAGCTTTGGAACGAACGTAAATAAAACCCTCCAATAATAATTTGTTTCCAACAATTCGAGGCTGCTCAAGATTTAGATCCATAATTTACACTATGAATGTCACGACACTAGATAATTTTAAATGAGTCAATAATTAAAAAACTTTACTTGAAAATTTTGAATCAGTTAAATGACTTTTCTTTGAAAACTTTGACGTTAGATAAACAAGTGAATCTCATTTGTTTTTCATACTTCATACTTAACATATATATATGAAAATTTTATTTAAATTTAAAAATTAAATTAAATTTAAAATTTTATTCGGGCAAATGTACTTTCGGGCAAATATTTTCGGGGAAAGCCGATCGGGCGAATGGATTCGGGCAAATGTGCATTCGGGCGTATGAATTCGGGCGGTTGTTTTCGGGCGAATGGGCGTATACCCGACGCATGACACCCAATTTCCTACTTCTCGAAATTTCTTATTCACACACATTCCACACAGACACATTCTACTACAAGACATTACTCATAGAGATTATACAAGTAAATCGCTACAAACTCATTATTCCGGTTACGATTCCGGTTACGTTTCTATTCTGCTCAGGCCCTTATTTAAAACGCGTACTTTGAAAGGTTTCTATTTTCCGCTAAGTTAAACGGGCAATATGATTTCTTTCGACACTGTTAATGACTCCTTGTTTGCTACTTGAACTGTACCGACCTTTTCTGTGATTGGGAGGTTTAATTCCTTTAACATCTCTAAACATAGAGGGCCTATAAATGATCTTGACGTTCTACAATCTATCAACGCTTTTATTGCGTGATCATTCACAAGAACAGTGATATATACCAGAGGTTCAGTACATGTAGGTGTTGAAGAAGGATAATTTAAATCTGCTAAATTGAAACAAGTGTGACGAAACTGTGCAGGCGCATTGACTAGTCTCAAACAGCTGAACAAGAATCGGGAAACTTCTCTCCATTTGAAGTTGGCTTGGCAATTTACATATAGAGAAATTCAAATAAATAAACAGACATTTCGACCATGACCTGAGAAATTGTGTCAACAAAAACCAAATTTTTGTTTATAAAAATTGTGCCATGTCACAGTTTACGACATTTTTATGTTGATTAAAAGTTTATTCTTTTTGTTTCTGTACTATCAAAATCAGTTTTTATTGTCTATTTTAAATATAATGAGGACTTGAGCATCATTGCTTTGTAATAAGAATTGATCCTCTTTTTGTTTATTTTTACTTTAGAATTTTAAACAGCCTATAATAATAATATTAATTTATTTCCCGTGAAATTGTAATCTTAATCTTTTTATTTTTGCAGGATTTACTTACTCATATGGGAGCTAAAATTTTGCAAGGAATGGAAGATTTTATTGATAGTAATTATAAAAATAAGAGGAAAATTATTATTTTGCAAGCTGATCATTGGACTGATAATGTTATAAGTACGTATTAAATTTTACTTGTACGTACAAAAAAGTATTGGTTAAAAAGAGGTTTCATAGGTAAACTTACTAGGTTTTTGTCGCGGTTTTAACCTTCCACGTAGCACAATATCTTGCTGTAAGCTTACCTTGAGCCTTCCTTAAGGGGGAAAACTTTTTTTTCTTTTAAAATTAGTTTACTATCTGTAGAATATGATCCTACATTACTAATCTATAATAAGATGTATGAATGTCTACAGTATACATAAGTTTAGCACTTAAACTGATACCAAAAGCAGTCAACGATGAGCACGAGATCTCTCTATTCTTTCGGTTTCTTGTCAATATCATTTTATTAATTGTCATTTGCAAGCACCATAAGCAAGTAATAGTAAATCTTGGTTTTAGTGCAATAGTTATTTTCGGATACATAACGTCTTCAAGGCAATATGTATAACACTACTGTTTTGTATCGAAAACTTTAAACGTAGCTTATATTGCATACTTTGAGGTATGCTTTATTTCAATTCAATAAACTTTACCACTTTTTGGAAAGAAAATCTTGAAAAAACATGCATTTACACGAGTTTCCCCTCTTACTGAAAATTCCCACATGATATCCCGTATAAGATCACTTATGGTTTTTCATATGAGATACTACATAAGATCTCATGGTGAGGTTAAGGTACGTTGCAAATGTCCTCTTTGCAACAAGCTTATATTGTAAGCTGCTGTAATCTTCCACCGTAAGTTTGCGCTAACGATAAGCTTACAAGTAAGTTTCAGGTGAATTTCTTTAAAGTCTAAAAAGTATTTTAAAAAACTGGTGGAACGTCATCTTTATATCGTATCGCAAAAGCACCTACAGGTAAGTCGTGAAGATGAGAAACAAGGAAGTCAATGAGGTTTATTTAACGCAGAAGCACCTACAGTCAAGTGTATTTAATAAGAAGTACCTCAACTGAATATAGGCCCCTCGTCTTTATCTCACTCTCATCGCACTGACGACTCTTAATGAAAACCTTAACTACACCTAAAAAGTTTTTCTATGCGTGTTTGCTGTGTTAGATGTACGATAGGGCACTTATAAAAATATACGTATCGAATATTTTTCAAAGAACTACAACATATCACAAGATGACCGAAATCCGTGAGGTACACCTGAGTAGTGTTCCTTGTGAACTCCTTTTGTTCCAACAAATTTTAAGCCCATTTTGGAAAATCAGTAATTAACCTTTCTCTCAAAATGTGCTTTCTCATCTGCTTCTGTTGTTAAAGTAATACAAAAGTAAATTGCTGAACTTGATAAGATGACCCATGTGTATGTGTTAAACAACTTGTCTACTTGAGATATGATCATCAGAGAAGTGCGAGTTTTCATGTCCAAAGCTTTTACGTCCTTTTCTGATTCCATGTCGTGATATTTGATACTATCGTTTGATTTTATTCAGCTGTATGTTTTAGTGCTCATCCCGAATGCCGATAGCGAAATTATAAAATGATAGATTTCTTTGTATTTATGAGATTTCGGTTTGAGTCGAGACAAAACGTCGACACTGAAAATTGGTGAGTGCGTCTTCACTCAATATACGCAGAGCGAACACCATCAGTCTACATCGTTACATGATACTTTCTTTTCACATTTACCTGTTGAACTAGCACTTAATAATTGTGTGTGATTTTAACAGGATGAAAATTTGTCACTGAGTTTAACCATTTGAGTAAAACACAAAAGAGTTGTAAATGTTAATAAATATTATGAGAAGAAATTCACAATTAATATGAGGTAGTTCTTTATGAAAATAAGCACTAAGAAAAATGATAATTACACTTTTGAGGTAATCATGTGGTGTAATGACTGTGAGATTATTAATTGATATGCTATATTAAAAATTAGATCATAATATTTTTATTAAAATACCATCTCTTATTAAAAGGGCTGAAAATATTTGTACTTTCCATAAGTGTCTAAACAAAAAATTCAAAAATGGGGATGAGATTTTTCATAGAAGTATAGTTGATAACATTAACTGAATATTTTGCATAAATATTCGTACTTGAAGTGAAGAGATATATTTTTCAGATAGTAATTCATCTAACTGTAGGTACTAAAACTTTTTGGCACTATATTCTATCTTAGTTGAAATTTTAAATAATCAAATTTAACAACACAGATCTCAAGGCACAAGAATAAAAAAATATTAGAGTGTCTATATGTGTGAGGAAATATTCAACCTAAAAGTTTAAGCAAATATTTCACAGCAAAATTTCAGGCAATATTAACTGAGACAAAATATTGAATCAACATTGCAACATTAAGAGGAAGCACCACCTTTATTTTGAGTCCTTTAAATTTCAATGATCGCATGAAGTTATATGGCGGTCTTTAAGTGCAAGAAATAATTCAATTTTTATAAAAATTGGTATTAGAGGGTTTCTGAGGTCCATGATTTCGAATTTCATATTATGTTTAAAAAAAATGACGGATCAAATATGGTTTGGATATGTTGATTTGATATATAAAAAATGGGACAAGTGCGACTTTTTCTCGTCGAAGTTGAGAAAACATATTTACCGACAGATCTCTATTTACAATAAACAAATAATTTTTTAATTAATTTTTTTAAATGTTTTTATCATTTTATCGTATTTGGAAGACCCAAATACGTAAGTATACCAATTTTCCATTAATTTCACTAAGATTTGTACGAGCAGTGACGATTTATGTTTTGAAAATTAATTAAATTCGAGAATAAAAAATTTGCAGTTTTTTTCCATTATTATTAAAAATAATAATCCTACAAAAAAATTTCATTAACAGAGCAACGGGCTCGAGCGCAAATCGAGTTACACGATCCGGCTCCTCAAATATTAATTTCATTTAGTATACGGGGTAAGCTTCCTGTAGCTTACTTAATGAAAAAACAGTTGATCGGATTGGGCTGTAACTTGCACATAGTTTATTATGTATTGTTAAGTTTTTTCAAAAACTGTCGGGGAGAAAGGAGGTTGAATTTTTTTGAAAAATTTAAACAGTGAATTTTTGAAGACTTGTAACTTTTAAACAGAAAGATGAAAAAAATTTGTCCTATATGTTTTCGAAAGGTTTTTTTCTTCTTTTTCAAATGGTGCAAAATAATTTTCAAAAAAATTTAAATTTTGACCCTTTTTTTGAAAATTAAACTTTTTTTCGAATTTTTTTTTATTTATTTTTTTTGTAAGCTAAAAATGTGCATTTTCACGACAAAAAATATTGAGATGTCCTTTTTTGTTATTTTCGAGATATTAATTAATTAATCAATTAATGTTAATAGAAAATGAAATATTTCGCCAATAAATAAAGTTATTGCAATTCTGAAGCTACCAATTGAAAGCTGACGTAATTCCGCATCCAACGAGCTCTATATGAACTATTTTGGATTAAAGGAATTTTTATAAACAATTGCAATGTTAAACAATTGTTTATTAACAATCCACTAATCTAGAGTACTTTATATAAGGCTCGTTGGATGCGAAATTATATCAACTTTCATTTAGTAACGTCAGAATTACGATACCTTTATTCGTTTATAAAATATATCATTCTTTATTAACCTTAATAGTCAATTAATTAACTGATATCTCGAAAATAACAAAAAAATCGGACAAGTGCGAGTTACACTCGCACTGAAATCGAGGGTTCCGTACACGAAACGAACTTTTTTTATATAAATACAAATATTTAATAAATATAAGTAAATAAAATTTAAAATTATTTGAATTAAAAATTAATTGAAGGGTAGAATGACAAAAGGGGTCAAGCGCCAATTCACTGTTTTTACAGGAAGTAAAAAAAACATTTTTAAAAATTTTGCAGGTCATTTAAAAAAAAACTGAGAAAACCGTTTCGATATATTAGTATGTTTTAATAAATAAACAACAATTTGTTGAAATAAACCTACATATTAACGATAAAATTAAAAAAAACTGTGGTTCCTTGAGGTTATATCAACTGCGCACATTTTCTTTAAACATTAATTATAAAAAAAATATACAGTTTAAAGAAAAACTGGAAATTTAGTTTCTTTCTATGGAATCGACGAAAAGAATAGAAAAAAAAATTCCTTTAAAAAATTGTTTGTTTTCAAGAAAATTAAGAATTAATTGCTTGCTTTGGAATTGAGCAATACTTTCATCTTTAAATTCAATTGTTCACTTAGTATAACCATAAAAATATTTAAAAATTAATAACAAAATGATTTTAAAATTGTTTAAAATTGAAAATACATTATTATTATTATTAATTTTATTAATTAAAATATTATTAAAATAAAATTAAAATAAAATATTAAAATAAAACCTAAAAAAATAATATTTTTTTTTATTTTGATAATATTATTGACTCACCACTTTCTTTTGTTTTTCAATCAGGTTGCAATAAAGTAAATTTGAGGCTATTTTATTAATTTAATTTTTATTAAAAACTGATTTAAATACGCAATAAAAAAGGAAATCCTTCTACAGAAATGTGTAAATGAATTTTCTTGATTTTTTTATGCAAAAACCTCATTTTCGATAAATTGGCGCTTGACCCCTTTTGTCATTCTACCCTTCAATTAAAAAATTAATTAAAAAAAAATTAGAATTAAAAATAAAAATTAAATTAATTAATTTAAATTAAAATTGTTAAAATTAATTTATTTTATTTTTAATTATTTAATTATTTAATTTAATTTAAATTTATTTTTTAAATTTATATTTAGTAATATAAATTGTTCCTTTTCGTAGCACTTACATTATTTGATATACAAAAGTTATATTTCTTAAACATATGTATTTAAACCAAATAAGTTCGTTTCGTGTACGGACTCTTCGATATCAGTGCGAGTGTAACTCGCACTTGTCCGATTTTATTTTCAATTAAAAAAACATTTTTTTGAATGTGAAAAAAATATCGAATTAAAGAAGAAAAAATAGGATAAAGAGAAAAATAAATTAGAAAAAATTAAATAGAACAGAGAAACGAATAAAAAACTTATAGG